AAATAAATTGGGTAATTATTAGCAAGCATTTTCTTTATTTCATTACATATTCGAATAATTTCCATAATTTAATTAAATATTATAATATGCATATACTCTAAAATATGCATATAATTTGTACTTTAATTAAAATATGCATATAATGTGCATATTTTAATTAAAGTACAAAATTCGTTTTAGAGCCTGAAAAAATCGCAGACAATTCTATAAAGTTTAAAATTTTCCAAAATTTCTTAATCAAATCTTAATATTTATTAAATTGAGATTAATAATTTTATATATTCTGCCAAAAAAAATTTAATAAATTTAGAGCTATGAAAAATATTTTCTAAAAAATTTTGTATAATTTAAGTTTTTCAATAAATAAATTTCTCGAATTCTAACATAATAAGTTAACAATCTAATATTATATTCATTAAAATTATTTATTTATTATTTTTCTATTAATTAATTTGAATAATATTTTATTATTTTTCATTTTGTATATTTATATATTTATATAATGTACCTATTATTACATTTAGATTTAAATTAAATTTTTTATTTTTGATTTACCGTCTTTGTGTTTTTTGTGTTTCTAATTTTATTTAAGAGAATAATTTAACTATTCATTTTGTAGTTTGATTGTTTATTGAAAAAGAATATATTTTGTTTTTAAATTTTAATTTTACTATTACCAAAACAAAAAAAAAAAAAGAAAACGTTAACAGAAACGTTTTATTAAATTTGTTTTCACAGAAAATGTTGAATTTTGTTAATTTTTTACTTTTAATATTATTTTACATTTATTCTTATAAATATATTCTAAGTATGTATAAATTTTTTTTTATAACGAAATTAATTAATATTTAATTAATTTTATACATTTATTGTGTACTCTTATACAAATATTTGTATATAATGCGTGTATGTAAGTACTAAAATTAATATTTTTAATTAAAAAAATTTATACACAACGAATGTTTTTTTTTTTATTTTGGTTTTGTTTATGTTTTAATATTAAATTTCTTGAATTTTATTAATTTTATTCAAAAATTTTTTTTTTTTAATTAATTAATTGATCATTTTTTAAATATGCTTAATTAATGTAATTCAATTCAATTTAATTTTTTATATATGTATTTAATTTTCCCTCTTTTGTTTTGTTCTTTTTTGTATTTAACTTCTCTACAATAATATTATATAAAACATATTTTTAATTTATATTTTAAATATTTTGATATAAAATCGGCAAAAACATTTTTTTTTTATATTTTCCTACTTATTTATTGTTTTACTTTTCTTTTTCATTTTATTTGAATTTAAAATTATAAATTAATGAATCATTTTTTTAATTCATCCTTTTAAATAGATAGTCTAAATAAATTTTATTTTCTATTTGTTTTTCAAATAATTTTTATTATTTTTATGAAAATTTTTTGTTTTATTTATTCGTTTTTATTAATATAAATTTTTGCATATGCAAAATACTATTGTTAATTTATTTTTCTCGATTTCACATATACTGGCATAGACCCCTTAAATAGGATCGAACAATCACTTTTTGAATTTATTTTCAATATGTTCCATGCAATCTTCAAATCTCTGCCAATATTGGAACATAGAGAAAAAAATTTATTTCGGATTATTGGGATTTGATATTTCTTTTTTGTATTTCTTAATTTTGATTTTTATTACTATATATTTTTTTTTTTGGTTCCTGTAAAATAATTTTTATACGCTTTAAAAGTTTCTATTTTTTGTTTTAATTAAATTGTATAATAATGCATGTATATAGGTGTATATAGGTATAATTGGTAGGTAAGTATAATTAGTAATTTGATATAATAATATTCGAATTGTATCAATAATATTAGTAAATCTAAATTTAAAATTAAAAATTTAGGATGATTGATGATATTATATGATTTTAATATTTTATAGAGAATGTAATAAATGTGGTAATAAAAATTTTTGGTTTATGAAATTAAAACTGATAAAAAAAATATATGTATTCATTAATTATTAAATAATTTAATTAAATTAATTATGTTAAAAGCAAAATTTTGATTTTAATCCGGATTAAATAATTTATTACCTTATTTTTAATTTGCTTTTATTTTTGGTAATTTCGAATTTATTCTTGGTAATTCAATTGTTTAAGTAGTAAAAAAATTTTATTTAATAAATTATTAAAATGAATTACATTAAAAATTTTATATTTTGTAAATTGAAAAACAAAATTTAATAAAATTCAATATAATATTAAATTTGGGTTATGAAAGTGAAATGATTTCAAGTTCCCTTTTTGATTTTTTTTGGATTTTGATAATTTATAATTATATTTTCTTTTATTTGGTAGTTTTAAACAGCAATTTATATTTGTGTTATTTTTTTTTTTAATTAATTAATCATATTTAGTAATATTGTAATAATTACACTACATCAGTATAAAATATAATGTAAATATATTATGAATATAGGCGAGAAACAATCAACTATACGAACAAAAAAATATATATATTATGTAATTATTTTTGTCATTAATTAATTTCTTAATTTACATCTAATTTTTGTTATTATTATAAATACAATATTAATAATATAAGATACATTTATATATTTATTTTACCATAAATTATTTAGAAATTTTAATTTTTCTTATTTTAAAATTTTAATTTTCAAATTTAGAATTGTTCATTTAATCATTTAATTTTTGTTTGTTTTCTAGTACATAACAATTATATTACGAGTATAATTATAAAATATGTAATAATACCATATCTAAATATAAAATTTACTTTGGGTTCTCATTAATAATTTATACAGAAAAAAACGCTTAAATTTATATTTTTAAAAATTGTTAAAATTTTAGGAAATTTAACATTTTTATTAAAAATAGATATTTTAAATTATTTTGTAGAAAATGTAAGACGAAAAAATTTAAATATAAAAATGTAAAATAAACAAAACAAATATTTTAAAAAGTATATAAGTAATGAAAAGAATGTTTTTAAAAGAATATAAAAAGAATGTATATATAAAAATTGTTAGAAAAACTTTTTTACATATAAAACCATATTACATAACAATAATAAGTAAAATATTCATAGATAAATTACAGTAGACAGTAAAATTTAAATTCTCAGTCATATTCTCTTATTATTCATATTATAAATTTTTGTTATTTTAAGAATAATATCAATTCCAAAATCTGAAATTCTATAATGAAACCCTGAATCCTGTTGAATAATATTCCATTGTCTTAAAAGATGCATCTAAGAGAATATGAATGTACATTTAAATGCCAATTGATTTATGATAAAATGAACATTAATTAACAATGTTTACTCAATAGAGATATTAGAAAATAAAGTAAAATTGCATTCTAAAATTATTTTTTATATTTAATATAATTGAATACCATAATTATATAAAATACATTTTATTGCAAATATGAATTCATTATATTCGAAATTTAAATTAAATTATAAATTATATTGAAAAAAATGAAAAATTATATTGAAATATGAACAATTAATTACTATAGAAAAATTTATAGAAAAATTTATTAAATAAAAAGATTTCATAAAGATAAAATTAAAATGGACAACTCCATTTTAATCTCATGAAATTTCTATTAAATAAGTTTTTAATTATTCTTTTAGAATTTAAAAGTTATTTTATTATAATTATATTGAGTAAGCATTGTATTTTAAGAAAAAAATATATTTAAAAAAAAAAAACTTGAATATTTTTGATAATAAAAATTAATATTAACAAGTAACATTAATATTTTGTTTTTAAAATAAAATCAATAAATTAAAATTAATTTTAACAAAAAAAAAATATTACAAATTTTTGAATATTATTTTGAGATAATTTACATTTGGAATCAAATACAAATTATTTACAAGTATTGTACATTATATTTTTTGTTAAAATGAAATTTTATTTTTTCAATTTATATTATTTTTGGCTTTGCAAGAACTTAATAATCAATATTATAGTAAATTAATATTTTTATTACAATTTATATTTCATACGGATTTTTGCATATTATATTAGGAAAATTAATGATTTTATATTGTTTTTCATTTTGATTTTAATTGAATTATTACATTTATTTTGATTGAGTTTATTTTGTAGTTTAATATAACAATTGTTTTATGAATATACATAAGTGTGTATTTAAATCTTAATTTTTTTTTAAGTTAGTTCAGACTGAGTTTCTAATATTCCTTTATTTTTTATTATTTTTTGATTTGATTAAAAAAAATTTATATTGAAAATAAAATTTAATATAATATGTTCATGTCATGTAAATTTTATATAAAATTGTATTTGAATTAATAATTTTTTTTGTAATAATTAATATTTTTCTATATTTTAACTATTTGTTTTTATTATTTGTAGGTATAGTTTGGGCAGCTATAGTAATTATTATTGAATACTAATTTTAATTCTTATTATTTTGAGCAAATTTTGCAAATAAATTAGAAATTAAAATAAAACTCAAAGGATGTCAGCTATCATGGTAAATAGTTTAAGGTAGAAATAAACAAAAGTTTAAAAAAATTAATAACAAAAAAATTTAATAATAATTTGGAAAAGAAATTTTTACACAAAAGTATTTGAGCAGGATTAATAGAATGCTCAAATTTATATTCAATTTTGATTTGAGCTATGAAAATTTACAGAAATATGAATTGAATTTTATGTTACTTATGTTCGCAGATAAAATTCATTTAAAAATTAATAAAATTAAAATTTTAAATGTTAAATTACATTTCACATATTATGCTATTAAAATTTGTCACTATTTACATGTCACATATATTGCAATGAAATTAAAAAAAAAAACTTAATTGTTAAAAGTATTTATTCTTTAAACTTGAAATTTTAGAATGGAAATCAGTCCGACTTTATAATTAATATAATAACTATTTTATTTTTATAATTTTCAGTTACATATAAAACTAATTCAAAAGTACTTTTTCAAAAATATTTTTGTAATTATACGAAAACGAAAAACAACAAAAAAGACGAACTTAAAAAAAATTAAAATAATTTTGTTAAAATTTATTTTCTATATTATATAGTCAATGTTATGTTAACGCTTGCTTTCTACAATTGCACAACCATTTAATAATGCGTGCATTACGTTCAACAATTGATGGTGGCTCTGTTGGTCTATATGGTTGTGTCTGTGGTTGTGTTTCTGTACTATCTGGTAATCGTGTTGAATCAACAGTGCTTACATCTGAAAAGAATACGGTACTTGATTGATCCGATTCATTATCACTGCTGAAACGTCTTTTTGGACTATAAATTTCTTCATATTTTTCTTCATTTAAACCCAAACGATCAAAGAATTTCTCTAATTGTGACATACTTTCAGATCGTCCACGTTTATCAATTCCAAATGTTGATAATTTACTACAACTATCACTAATTGGTGAACCACGATTCCAATAACGATCGCTAATATCACTTTTAGAACGTAAGATCGGTTTACGATCATCTTCACATGATGCTGACATTGTAGCTGCAGCACTTGATACAGCAATAGCTGCATTTTCAGTTCTACATGAATTTCGATCATTTGATGTTGAATAACGTGTTCGTTGCTTAAATCGAAAACATTTTTGACGTTTAAATGTACCAAGTGGTGGACTTAATTCTTGTGGTTTTAATTGAATTTGAGGTTGCTCATTATTTAGACTACCAATACTACCATCTGGTGTACGAATTGTAGGACTATTCTGCGTATGATGTTGACTACTACCACTGCTATGTCTATGATGCTTTAATTCTTGTTGGGTTGGTGGTTTTTGAATATGTTGTTGTTGCTGAGTATGATGTTGCTGTTGTTGTTGCTGTTGTTGATGTTGCTGTTGTTGATGTGATTGATTCAATTTACCACTTTGAATATAATTTTTTCGACTCTTAGATTTTTCCTCATAGTAACGAGCTGTCGCTTTAGCTGTTTGCTCGCCAGGATAATCGTCTTGAAATGCTTCTGGTACTTCAGGTGTTGTAAAATTAAGAAGGCATTCAGAATCTTTTTGATATTTTGAACGACATTCGGGACAATCATAACGAGTACTAGATACAGCATAACCATAATATGAATTTCCACTATGTTGTGTTGAGGAACCGCTATCACGTCGATATTCAGTTCCAACATAAACTTTATTCATATCGCGTTGTTGTTTACAACATGGTTCACTTCGATGCGTATAGTGGCCAGATGAACCACCGGAATCACGATTTAAAGAGCTACCGCCACCCGATTTATTTGAACGATTACCGCGGCTGCAGCAGCTTAAAACTTCACTATGTGGTGAATGCCGACTAATTTGTGAATGTAAGTCTGGTAATGATTTATGACTATTAATATTATAGGATGGGGATGAATAATCAGGATCATCTGAGGCAACTTCATGAGAATGAGAAAAGGATCGTTGGTAATTACATCTAAAATAAATATAAAATTAATGATTTTGAAAACAAATGCCTAAATAAAAAAAATTTACCTTTGGTCCTTTTCTGGCGAACTATCAACCGCTGCATATTCAGCGGGTGGACTAATTGCGCGATAGTCTTCAGTTAAAATAAGTGGTTCATCAATTCCATATGAATAAATATCATCATCTGAAACAGGATTTGGTGGCAGCGATTGTGGTGACAAAAAAGCACTAGGAAACATAACGTTAGAATCAGTTTGATCATTTGAAGGATGAATTGACAGCTGAAAATTACAATGAAAAATATTAAGTATTGAAAAATATTAGTTATTCAAACACTTTTAGTTTACCTCTTGATTATATTTTACGGATTGGTATTTACTAAATGTATCATATTTCTTCGGCATTCCCATAGTATTTGCTTTATATCGTGGCAATTCAGGAACTGAAATATCTTTGGTATCAGCATTTAAAAGCTTACGTAATTTGGTCTGTAATAAATCTGAACTAGATGAAGCACTACGACGATTAGCTGAACGTTGAGAACTTGAAATAACCTGTGTACCTCTCTCTAATACTATACTACTATTAATACCATTATTTGTATGATGATGATGATGGTGATGATGATGACCTAATGTTCTTACAGGTGATAATATACAAGCGACTGCATTTCCTGGTGTATTACTTTCTCTACCAAGTGTATTTGAACCATGTACAGCTGCAGCTGCAGCAGTTCTATACATTAAATGTTGATGACGATCTAAAACTGTTTCAGATTTAACATATAAAGGTTTACTTTCGGCAAGCATTTCAACAGCTGATCTACGTTTATGTTGACGTCCGCCAGTTCCAACTGGATACATTGATAATGTTGCATGATGATAATGTCCTTGTATATGTTGTTGATATTGAGGTGGGTGATTTTGCATTGTTGGCGGTAAATGCGATGAAACTGAATGTTGTTGTTGATGTTGTTGTTGTGAAAGTGAAATAGATGATGATGACATCGGTGTACCAGTTGATAAATATGATGCTGGCGGCATTATTATTGGATTTAATGATGATGATTGATGATGTGAATTAAATGACATTACAGATGATGGTGTCGGTGGATGTTTCGAATTTGAATGCTGTTGATTCGATGTCGGTGAGTAATGTGATGGTGGTGGTATTGTTTGTTGTGCTTGATGATGTAAATGATGTGAACTTGTCATACGGCTATGATGCCGGGAGGGGCTTCCATTATATATCACGGTTGTCATTATAATCGAGTAGATTTTTTTTTGTGTTTGTATTTTTAAAATTTTATTAATAATTTTTTTATTGTTTTAGAATATAAGAATTAATTTTTGTTGTTTTATAATTGTAATGTTTTATTAGTCTTATTTAAAATTTGAATAAATATTTGTATTGTGCATATTTGATGATTGATCTGAAAATGAATAAGAACAATAAATAAATTATTAAAATGTTGTTCGATTTTTGTAAAAAAATTTGGAATAATTATTAAAAAATTTCAAATTTTCAATTATTTGGGGTACAAACCCATTTAGAAGTAAAATAACAATTTCTCAGTTATTTTGAAGTTAGACTCTTTAGAACTTGGTAAACTAAGCAAATTCACAATAAAGATATTTTTAAATTTAGTTTTTCTCGGCACAAAAATTTGTACCGTGTAGCTTGAATAAAATTTCAAAACTGAAAAGTTAATTTTTTCAGTACAATGAAGAGGGGTGCGTACATTTTTAATTTTTTACATTATGCAGAATTTTCAAAATTACGCAAATATCGTATGATAGCCTTCTATGTGCTACATCAACATTTTGGAATAACAATCAAAAAATGCTTAATGAAGAAAAAATTGATTTGAATTGTGTGTTGTTTTGTTTTGAAAAATTGATGACGAAAACTTTTCGATCATATTTTTATGTTTTTAATTTCAGGAAATTTTCATTTAAAAATATTTTTGTATATTCAAGTAGAGTTTTTTATTACTAAACTTTAAGAACTAATTGAAAAGGAAGTACGTATACGTACATAGGTAGTTTACAATCCAATTTTGCTCGCAACTACCCTGCTTTTTAATATTTCAATTAAATCTAAATTTGCTGTTACTTTAATAACAAAATCACTTTCAAAATTTTCAAAGCTATCAAATGAAATTGGCGAATCAAAATTCATTTTGCAACTAAACCATAAAAATAAATAAAATCTAGTTTTATTATGGCTACTGAATGTCTAGAAAATTTAAATGATATCAGATGGTACGCACTCATATACACACACACTCACAATTTATGTGTTTAATTTTTAACACTTTATCATTAAATTATTATAAATAAAGTTTTACTAGATGTGATAATTAAAAATATAATGAGAGAAAGGAGAATAATAATAATAATAATAGAAAAATTAATTATTACTTATTTTTTTACAGCGTGAATAACAAGTTTAATCACAAAATTGATAATTAATTGCAAAATAAGTTAAAAGTAACAGCAGATATTAAAATTTTTTTGCTCTTATGTCAAAAATATGAACTTAATCGCTTACAAAATTATATGTACTTATTAAGAGACAGATTATGTTATTACGAGTAAAAACTCAACGAGTGAGAAGAAAGTGAGTGAATATAATATGTTTGTGCATGTTTTAATTTGAAAGTGAATAAAAGAGCTGACTGAAAAGGCGTAATAAAATATTTGGGCTGGAAGCATTTTGTGTCTGTATTTTTCCCCCGAATTATTTTCTGATAGTGCAAGTATTTCCTACAGTTATTCTGGAACTGTTCTAAAGATTTGTAATGAGTGAATACACACTTCCTTTATTTTTATGAGAAAGTCACATGGCTGGATATGTTATATACATATGTATGTATGTATGTACAATATGTGGATTATGACATTACATTTAAAGCAGGACTGTTGTCAATATAAAATACAAGTATTTATGTAGGTATTAAACCATCTGATTCTTATAACAGTTCAAGAATAACAGTTATACTTTTAGTAGAAAACTGAAATTTGAAAATTGGATATTTTATTTGAGCAACTCAGAACTAGATAGTGTACACACACAAAAATTCACACAAAATTTATTTCTAAAATACTTTTCATGTAAATGCGAGGTCTTAAAAAATATAAGCACCTACATACATACATGTATCTACTTACTTATATACCTACATTATATCAAAACATTACTGTTATTTTCCATTTATGCATCCTATTATATAATTTTCATAAAAAGAAGCTTTATGCTTTGCGTTTACTTAATAATAATTTTAACATAAAAAATTTCACTTTTCCTTTTCAAATAATTTTCAATTATTCATTATTCGTCGCTATCAGCAAAAATAACAACATTTTCTATTATTATTATTATTATTGTTATCTCTTTCTCTCTATATGTAAAATTTTTTTTTTTTTTATTTTTGTATTCAACTAGCATTGCATTTTAAAAATGCAGCCAAACTGTCTTTTAAAGTCACATTTAAAATTATCAACAATCTACATATGTACATATGTCTACATACTCGTGTATTTTATACATATTGCTTTTACATGTTAATATTGCCAGACTTGTAAATATTGAATTTAAACTGACCAAACTATTAAAACTAGAATTGGAAAAATGAATACGAATTTTGCATAAATTCCAAAGTAAAGCCAAGAGATTGCAGAAGGAAAAAGTATATTTCGTTCTACAATTCACAATGTTTTCAAGTTAAGAAAACGAATTCGGTTTTCTTTTCTTCAGCATTCTTTTCAGATTCTGATTTAATTATAACCATAAGTCTCTGTACTTGAATTCGATTTCAAATTTTTATTTAATTCAAATTAGGAAGTAAAGGCTTAATTTTAAGAATCTTTAAAACTAGTTTCTCTTTCGGAAATGAAATTTTATATAAGAAGAAATTTGAGAACGGACATTACGTTTTTAAAAATATGACATAGCGTCAACAAAGTATGATCTAGCGATTTTCTTCGTAAGAGAAAATTTTATATAAATTTTTTTTCTATTCAATATCGTCTCTGGAATTCCTTGAGAGAAAATGTTATACAAATTTCAATATAAACAATATTTAATGCACCGACTTTTAATGGTCACTTTATTATCACACAAATATACATATGTATGCAAATAAAATATTATGGTTTACAATTCTATAGCTAATATATTATTATTGTGCATGCTATATTAAGAAGGCAAGTGGAATAACCATGTACATATAAGATAAAAATAAAATGAGTAGTAAAATAAAGTGCAAAACATGGTTATAGAAAAGCTTTTATATTTTCAAAAATGAAGATGAAATGCAAATTCAACTTTAAAATAGAAAAAAAAAATAAGAAAAAAAAAAACAAGAATTTCTATAATGTTTTTCAATATACATGAACGTGTGTATGTGCAAGTGCATTTTGATATTTTATAAAATCTATATTATGTAAATATTGAATGCAACATGTTTATCTAATGGTATAATTTAATGTCAATTTTTTACCGTTATATAACCAGAATTAGACATCACTTTATAAAATTTTTTGTACACCATAAATATTTTTGGAAATCAATTGTTTTAAATAAGTAATTTGAATTGTGCTTCAGTTTAGAAAATTTGTTATACTCGTAATTTAATTAAATTGTAGAAGAGTATAACATTAGAAGTATGAGATTATTATTTAATTGAAGGTGATTAATAATTCAAATATCACAAGAGAAATTAAGTGGTTCGAAGTTACTGTAGATGTTATTGTGCACCTTATTTTAATCATTCATATTTTTTAATGTGTTATACAGAAACCACTTTTTATTATACAATATTTCTCTTTTTCTTAAAAAACCCATTTTTGTTAAAAATATTACAGTTAAAAATGTCCTTTGAAATAAATATATACCATAAGATGGGGAACTTCTCTTACGTACCAAAAAGTATGGTGAAAATAAGTAAAAAATTATAGAAAATTTGTTATACGACATAGGAACAAATTATTTAAAGATTTTATTAAATTAATGCCTTTTAATTGAAAAATAATTATAAATAAAAATTCCCGATTTTTCATTCAAAAATTTTGTTTGTAATGCGCATTTCTGACATTTGATACTAAAAAACTATTATAACAGTATTTGAAAATTCACAATAGAAAATATTTATGTTCTGAGTACAGAAATCATCACATAGTTAATTGAAATTCATAAATAGAGTTTATTTGAAGTTGGTCTTATGAATATTAATTTTATGTAATTCATTAACTTTTTTTTCTGTGTGTGTTTGTTTTGTTGCAAGCTCTCATGTACTCGTGTACTTTTGCTCTTTGAATTAAGCAAAAGTACACAAGCGTACAACTTTGTGTGTTTAGTTTGTATACAAATTATTGTTCGCGGTTTTAACTTTTATTAATGTGCACAAAAAAAAATATTTTTTTCAATTATAGAAAATCATATTAATTTGAAAAACGTTTTGCTTAATTTTAGAGAAATCGTGAGAATTTTTATTTTTTTCTCTTAATGTGAATTTTTGTGCATATGCACAATATTTTTTCATAAAAATATTAAAGTAAATATTTATTTTTTCTTTCTTTCAAAGATTTTTAGTAATTAAAGTGAGTGCAATTATACTTTTTTTTTCTCTTAATGATTCGTATCGTAATGGAGCGTAGATGAAAATGGTGAGAAAAAAAATTTTAAATTTTCTTTTTAAATACCTAATTGAATATTAGTAATGCTAATTGAATATTAAATTGAATATTGAAAAAAAAATTATAAAAATATGAAAAAAAAAAATAAAATTATGTAGATAATAAAACTAATTTCAATAAAATATTTCACATTATTGACAATAGTTTCTGATTTTAAAAAAAAATTTACTGATTTTCTTTGCAAAGTTTGTCAAAACTATTATATAATGACACTACATTGTCATATTAAAACAAAGTTATTTTTTTTACATTTCGGAATATGATCTTTAATTTTTTGACGTTGACATTTCTCTTTTGTGACAAATTCCTTATTACCATCTTCTTGTCAATTCATATTCAAATATCAATTAAAATATTAATTCACGGTAATACTTTTACGGGATGAAAAGTCTTATTTATTTAAGAAACTAAAGGTTTTTATAGTGACTCGGAAAAAATATTCTTATTATTTAATAGTTTTTAATATTTAATTTACTATTATTGCTAAAACTCCTTCAATAAAATGTTTTCAATCTAAAAATTTAAGAAAACAACCTTAATAACAAAATTTACAACACAATTTGATATTCATTATACTATTATTATTATGAATATCATAATAATAATAGAATCAATAATAGCATAATGAATATCAAAGAAATTGTTATTTAATTTTTAATAATAGATCATTTAATTTTAATTCCCTATATTATTAATTAAAGCCCATTTAAATTTTTATTTCACACTTTTCTTC